GACAAGCTTTTATTTCAAAACTAAACTTTGAAATTTAAAAATAAAGGGATAGGAGTGGGAGGGGGTGGGAGGTGGGAAGGAGGTTCAAGAGGGAAGGGACATATGTATACTCATGACGATTCCTGTTGATATATGGCAGAAATCAACACAATATTGTAAAGCAATCATCCTCCAATTAAAAGTTAATTAAAAAAGAAAAGAAAAGGTTTCCAAGGTCAGAAGGAAAGATTTAAAGTTTTTTTTTTTTTTTTTTTACATTCACAACCTTTATTATGAGTAAGAACTTTGCTACAACTGTGAAAATAAAAAGTAAAATTACAACTTAGATCCTAGGGCCCAGAGGAGCCTGAAAAGGGAGACAGGAGAGAGCACAAGGATGCTCCCCCCTCCCAGGAAAGGTGCAGAATGAGCCAGACCTAACCCCAGGGCCACCAGCCTTGAGAAGCTCAGGCCCCAGGCTGGTCAGCGTAAGCAACGTTGTGAACTTAAATATATAAATAGAGACCCAGGCAGTCAGCCAGGCCCTTCTCCCAAATGCCTGGGGATCCAGGCTAAGGCCTTATCTCCTCCTCAGTCATACTGGGCAGTAGGAGGCAAGGAAAGTCATCTTTGGAATATTTTGGTTTTTCTTGTTTACACACAAAATATCTGCAACCCAAAATAGAATTCTCCCTCCACATGTCTGCCTATCTCAGTTACTCTACCTGTCTGTTTGGCCAAAGAAAACGGAATGGACATGAAGAGACGATGGAGTGGGGAAGGAACAGAGCCGGCTGTGGGGGCTGGGAAGAGAGGGCATCTGGGGGACACGAGAAAAGCCCCCTCCCCACAAGGCTCAAGACAGTCAAGGCTGAGGACTCAGCCCTTTCCCCAACTCAAGTCCCATCCCATCTGCCTCCCACTGCCTAGGTTAACGGACCCAAAGGAATGTGCTGGATGTCAAAGAACGTTTCCAAAAACAGACCCCAAATGTCCTTAAAAAGAGGTTAAATATTAACCCTTTGGGTGCTAGCCTCGTCAGGCAGAGATAAGGCCAAAAAAACCAGTGTCCATGAAAGTATTTCTGGCCTTTGACCAAAGCCCCCTCCCCACCCCAAGGGGTCAGAGCGGCCAGGAGTCTAGACTCCACAGCATACTTGTTCAGTGTTGGGAGACTCAGTCTAGGGAAATGATGTCTGACCGACAGCCAGTCAAAGAGGAACCTGAGGGCAGGGGTCCTCCATGCCCCTCCCTTAAGGTCCCCCCAGGGGCCACAATGCTACTGACACAGCCAGGAGGGGGTGCCGGTGTGGCACTGCGGTGAGAGCTCCCCAACACGGGGGTGAGCGGGCCCAGGAAGTGGGAAGGGGTCCCTCGGTGCTGGAAGAAGTGGCCCAGGGCATCCTGTTCATCTAGTGAGGTGATGACAGAGGGACCATAGTGCTGACTCTCAGTTTGAAGAGCTCACCAGCATTTCAAGGGTAGTGATACGCCACAGGAATTTACTTTGCTGTTTTCAGCTCAAGCACTGCCACCCCCAGCCTCCCCAGGTCTCCTCTCCCGTGACTCTGTGTCAGGCTGGGTGGCCACAGCTCTGGGGTCTGAAACTTCCAGTCTCACTCTCCTCTGTTCCTGTTTGTTTATCTGATTTTCTTCATGCTTCCTCTGTTTTCTTGCAATGTCCATTTGTCCATCTTGCTGATGCCTTTTTGGCCTCTGCCCGGTGGCACTGACCTGAATATGGAAACTTGACTGCTGGCTCACAATTTTTTTTTTTTTCATGGCTAATGAGTTCTCCAGAGTAGGGTTATCATGGAGTATGAGCCAAGGGAAGAGGTGGAAAGAGAAAGCTGAGGAAGAAATTTAGCATGAAGGTCCTCAGGGATGTTGCAGAACACCCTTCTCAGAGGACCAGGTGAAACTAGGAGGAACTTCTGGGTGCCAGTGACTTGTCTCGGCTTCCCTTGAGAGTCACTCATTCAGAGTCACTATAGTCTGTCACCTTCTGCAGGGGAGGGCAGGCTGGAGCAGGAAGAGCTCAGCTTTGCATCAGGTAGATGGGGCCCAGAATAACATGGTTCTGCTGCTCTGAGTCTTGAGATGCGGGTCTCCTTGTCTGCAAGAAACGAGCAGTGCTACTGCCATATGTGGGGTGGTGGAAAGGCTCAAATGTGTTCTAAAAACACCTACCTAGAGACTTCCCTGGTGATCCAGTGGCTAAGACTCTGAGCTCCCAATGCAGGGGGCCCAGGTTTAATCCTTGGTCAGAGAAACAGACCCCATATGCTGCAACTGAGAGTTCACTTGCTGCAACTAAAGATCCCAAATGTGGCAACTAAGACCCAGTGCAGCCAAATAAATAAATATTTAAAAACCAAACAAATAACACCTACTAGTCTTTCCTCCCTCCCTTTTTATGATAGTCCTTTGCATGCCAATTATTCAGAAGATTACTATAGGAGACTTCCCTGGTGGTTCAGTGGCTAAGACTTTGCCATCCAATGCCATGTGATGGGGGAGGGGTGGTGGGTGGTGTGTTGGTTCGATCCCTGGTTGGGGAGCTAAGATCCCACATGACTCAAGGCCAAAAAACCAGGATAAAAAACAGAAACAACATTGCAACACATTCAATAAAGACTTTAGAAAAGGTTGACATAAAAAAAAAACCTTAGAAAAATAAACAAAAAACTCTTAGAAAAAGAAAAAAGCTTGCCGTTAAGGCAATTTGGAACCCCCAACACATTTTCTCATAAAAGCCAGTAGTCCTGAGTTTTGTGAAGGCCCTGACTCCAGCCTACCTTGCCATTCCCCTCTCTTCCCACGTCCATCCACAAACTTGACTTTTAAGCCATGATGGGATCCTCAGCTGTCTTCCCCTCAGCTTCGCTACCCACAGACTTTTACTCCTTCATCCTGGAATCTCAGCCCTCTGCTTAGAAGAATCCAGCAAGTCAATATCCAGGTGAAATTCAAATCCAGCTGATGATCTTTCACCTAAGCTGGTCATGGGAGCTCTACAATAAAAGTCACAACATACTTACTTTTGTGATTGTTATAATAGTAGCACACTGTTCAGTAACCACTTATTGTTGAATAAGTGAACAATAATAGCTAAATTTGTTGAATGTATGCTATATGTTAGGTAGTATACTATGCCTTTTATATGCATTTCCTCATGTAATTATCACAGCAAGGTTAAAAGAATGTATTATGGTCCCCATACTCAGGGCTTCCCAGGTGGCACTGATCAGTTAAGAACACCCCTGACAAAGCAGAGACGTTAAAAGATGCAGGTTCTACCCCTGCATTGGGAAGATCCCCTAGAAAAGGGCACGGCAACCCACTCTAGTTTTCTTGCCTGGAAGATCCCATGGACAGAGGAACCTGGCGGTCTGCAGTCTATAGGATCGCACAGAGTCAGATGCAACTGAAGCGATTTAGCACACACACGTGGTCCCCACACTCTGGGGAGCTAAGGCTCAGATGGACCGAGCAACTCTCTCAAAGTCAAGTATCCAGAAAGTAGAGCAAAGATTCTAACCTAGAAATGTGTGAACCCCAAGCCCTGTTTTCCTTCTACTTTCCAAGAGATGGAGGCTAAGTTAAAAATACATAGAACTAAAATCAACTACCAGGACCATTTATAGCCTCATTTTTGGATGTGACTTTTAGCAATGCTCCAGGCCAGAAAATAACCTCTAGGCAGCTCTTTTCTGACCTGGGGAGGCAGGCCCAATAAAGCAAAGAAAGCAGAAGTCCAAACGTGAGGTCCATTAAATGCTGCAAAGAAAGCTTACTGCCACTAGAGGGCTCCCTCCTCCTTAGGCAAAAAGTGCAGCCTGGCCCTTGCAAGTGGACCCTGCTGCCCTGAGCCGGCTCCACTCCACCTCCCTCAAGTTCAACCCATTTTACCCAAATCCCTGGGACAGCAGCAGAAGTTGGCCAGCCTTAGGGAAATCCCTTGGTAATTCCCCAAGCTGGAGCAGTGGGGGAAGGAGGAGCCATTTGCCCCATGTTTTCACAACCACATTCCACCCTCCTCTGGATTAGAGATGCTTTGAGGTCGTCAGTTGAGGCTTCAATACTTTGGCCACCTGATGCGAAGAGTCGACTCATTGGAAAATACCCTGATGCTGGGAAAGATTAAGGGCAAGAGGAGAAGTGGGGGCAACAGAGGATGAGATGGTTGGATGGTATCACCTACTCAACGAACATGAGATTTTCGAAACTCCAGCAAATAGTAATGGTCTGGGAAGCCTGGTGTGCTGCAGTCCATGGAATCGCAAATGGTCAGACATGACTTGGAGACTGAATAACTAACAACTAACAATGTTCAATGCGGGTGGCCGGGGGTAAGGGGGTGGGGTGGGGGTGGGAGTTGGTCTCCCTCCATAAGCTCAGGATGTGAGACGGAGCAGAAAAGAAAACCTTCCTCCCAGGAGAAGTGGAGGCTTGGTGGTAGTACTCCAGAAGTGAGGCCCAACTCCCAGCCTGGTGGGCTGCAAGCTCTGAGCCAACAGCAAAGGAATACAGAGCAAGGGACCCAAGGAGACCTCACTCCGATGGGCTCTCTGGAGGCCGGGCACCCTCAGATTTTGCTGAGACGGGGTTGGGGGGTGGGTGGTGGTTGGTGGGAAGGCCTTTTGGTGTAATGAAGCACAGTTTTGTTTGAAAATATCCTGCCAGGAGAAACATCTCTTGGGGCCATGGTTGTGCAGCTACAGTCAGGGAACTCTCCCATCTTCACCACTTCCCAGGGGCCCTGCTGGGGAAGGGCTTCTGCAGCAGCCCCTTGGGGTTCCCCGGGTTGGAATGAGGACTCAACGCTGCATTTTAACACTGTATCAACAGCAACGCATTAAGTGAAAACAGTCAAATTACTGAACTGTATCTAAGCTATTATTACAACTACAGGAAAGAACAGATAATTGGGTAAAGGGTTGAGAGGCTATCTGGAAGGAGGTAAAGGCCTGGCGATCCTCCCCTTTTTAGACTTGTTGATTTTGTTAGATTATGTGTGTATGCAAAAGTTGAAGAAAAAGGGTGAAGCGAAGGTAAACTGAGTTACAAAACATTTTCAAAGGCTTCATTCACCACACCCTGGTAGGAGGTTTCAGAAATTGGACAGGGAGCTTGGACCTGAGAGCCCTGGATGGAGAAGCGGTAGCCGAGAACATGAACTCCGGGTTCGAGGCCCCAGAAGGGACAGATGCGAACTGAGGTGACCCCGCGTGGCCGATCACGTTGTATATGGGAACATTTTCCTATAACTACATCCCACCCTCTCCATCCTACAATTCCGCCCGGCGCCCAGGGTAGGACTGGGTCTTGGCGGTAATCAGGCGGCCTTAACCCCGCCTGCAGAGAAGGGCAGGCCCGGCAGCAGCCAGCAGCCGGGGAGAGGCGACGAGGACATTGTTCCAGCCTCTCGGGTGGGGTTCTGCGGGGGGAGGGGACGCGGTAGCCGTCCCAGGGGACCTGTGCATCAGCGCGTTCAAGCGCCAGGGCTTTGTGAAGTGTCTTGAGTCACCATGGAAATCCGAAGGAACGCGGAGAAGGGCGCCCGGGGTCGGCTGGTTCTCGGGCCGCGCCCTTCGTCCCCTCTCGGACCCTGGCCCCGCGGCAGGGCCTGTCGGGAGTTGTAGTCCCCAGGCGGTGGCCGCGCGCGGCGCCGAGGATGCAGGGCGCCGCCGGTCCCCGCCTCCCCCTAACCTGCTAGCGCGAGGTGGGGAGCGCTGGGGAGGAGCTGTCGCTCCGGTGATTGGCGGAGGCCTCCTCCAGCCCCCACCCAAGTCCCCTCCCCCGCTCGCGGCTTCGGACTCCGAAGCCCCCGCGCGCCAAGGCGGCGATCAAGCGAGCGCGCGTGCAGCCGCGCCGCCCAGAGCACCCGCAGCGCCGGCGCCGCGGCGAGACAGGAGGAGAACCCACCCACCGACAGAACCCCACAGCCGCGGCATCCCGGAGGAGTGGGTGATGGCAGGGAGGGCGGTGGGCTTATTCTCCCCGGGCTGGGACGTCCATCTCAGACAGTCTGCTTCTCTGGGAGGAGCACAATAGGGCTGGGGTCGGAGTGCGCCCAGAGAACCGGCTGCTGGGAACGCGGCGGGAGGTGTGGTTTGGAATTCGGGGCAGCTTTCTCGGGCTAAAATTGGGACCCGAATCGGTTCCTCTTTGTAAGCCCACAGAGTTCCCGGAGCGCCAAGCGGTACCTTATTCATAGTAGGCGTTTAATAGATGCTCGTGGGATTGCAAAGAACTGGGGTGAGGAGGCTGGCTTGGTTTAAGGGGTTCGCTCCTAGCACACAGTAGACGCCCAGCCTCGTCGAGGTGCAGTGAATGGCTGGAGGGCTGGCCGGGAGCTTCTCTGGCCGTGGGCCCGTCCTGCCCGATACCTTAGATCTGCGCGCGGTCCTCTGCCCGCACCGATCACCGCCAGCCCGCACCACCCCCTGCCCCTCGCCACACGCCCCCAGCATACACACACACACCCTCTGTCCCTCTCGCCTCCGGGTTGGAGTTTACTCAGCCTGGACCAGACCGAGCGGTCCGTCCACCCGTCCGACTAACGGGTGGACTATTAGCCGGCCGCCTCTGGAGGCACCTGTCTGAACCACAAAGGCCGCCTTTCGCTGCCCAGCCCAGAGCGGGCGCCAAGCTGGGTCCCTTCGCTCGAGCCCAGCGCGGGAGCCCTCCCCGGGGCATCGATCTTGGCGGGAGACGCCCCAGGCCGGGGGAGGAGGCAGGAGTCCGAGTTGGAGAGGAGCTGAGATGGAGAGAGGCGGGGGCGAGGCCTCCGTTTGAGCAAAGATGCGAAAGATGGAAGATAGGGATGGGTGGGAGGAGGGGGCACTGGAGACAGGTTTGAGGAAAGAGAAGGGTCTGAGCAGGGAGGGTCGGAGCTCGGAGCAGGTGGCGCGAGGCGAGGCTGGGGCTGATGAAGGATGTGGAGGGGAGGAGGGATGCGGGAGGGTGGAAACTGCCTGGGTTAGAGAAGAGTAGACGCTGGGGAGGAGGAGACCCACGCGATGAGAGGGAGGGGTCTCCTTGGGGAGGGAGGTCTCCCGGGAAGGGAGGGGCAGGCAGCTGGGGGTGGGGGGAGGCGGGTCTCGGGCCCAAAGACCCTCAGCCTCGGCGAGGGGCCCGGCGGTCCTGTGGCTGGCTGGGCGTGGCTCTTGGACCCGGCGACAGACTCGGGATGGCGGATCGGGGGCCGAGCCGGCTGTCCCTACGAGGAGCTTTGTCTCCAGGCTTGACACCAGCCCTTAGGGACTCGTTTAGGGTTTTGTGATAATCCGCAGCGCCACAGGCACACCCTTTTCTTCGCAAAGCTGAAAGGCTTGGTCCAGCGGCAGGTGATAGCAGGGAGGCGGAATGGGGGCCGCCTCCCGCCCGGGAGACCCGGAGAACAATAGCCGGCACTGGTGTCCTCCACACCACGAGCTAGGGCACCCCTAGAGCTCGAGTGTGCGGTTTTCTGGTGCAGAAAACACTCCTGGAGAAATCAAAGGGCACGTGCTCTTCTCTTGGGGTTTGTGTTAGGGCAACAAACCCCGCTGGTAATTCTCTGATGTGAGTCGCGCATCCCCGCCCCCAAGACTGTGGGACCCGCAGACAGACGCCGCCCCTGGCTTTGGTACCTTCTGGCTGCGGCGCCGCCCCCTGCCCCTTCCTGCTGACCAACCACCGAGACGGTCGGGGTGGGGGAAGACCTGTGGAGGTCGCCTCGGTGCTGAGCGGGCTCCCTGAGTAGCCGGCTTTGTCTGACGATGCGGACGAGTGTGCTGTGCGTTCTTAAGAGGGAGCAATCAGGGCTGGTGCGATTTGTGATAAAATGGAGAGAAGCAGTCGTGGAGATCACCCGCCACGGGTGCAGTTCCTGGACTTAAAGCCGGCAGCTAGGGGACCAATGCTTCCCTTTGCCGGTGACCACACCCAAGCCAGTGTATCCATCCTTTGCAAATTTCACTTGTAGTGTCTGCTGACCTAAGAGAGGGACGACTCTGTGATAGGAGGTGTCTTCTTGCCCATGGGAAAGCAGATGGACAGAAATGGAAATACAAAAAGGAGCTCAACTGAGCTTTCCATGCATTCAGTCTTGCTTGCTGTCTAAGCATCTTTCACACCAGGCTAGCAGCATCTTAACATGTGAGATGACAGCCAGAAACCAACGTTCAATTTTATAGGTTTTCTTTGATGATTGTTCAGTTGATATTAAAGGTGACTCTTCAGCATAGACTTATACTTTTAAATGGTCATTCATTTTATTTTTATTTTTTTTAAATGGTCATTCATTTTAAAAAGACAAAACAAACAAAAAGCAAGCCAGAAGCATTTTTATTCCAAGAGTGAAGGAAGAAGCTTGGCTCAATGACTAGCAGACCATCATAGGAAAAATCGCAGTGACATATTTGGCCTGAAGTTGACTGATGAGCGTTTGGGCTCTCATAACCTGGCTTTGAAACCTCAGGATTTTACTTGGGTTGATGTATAAGGTGAGGGACTGTGATGTGACTGCCGCCTATTGCCCCAGAACATATGGTAGCTGCCAGTGTGAATTCTTCCTACCTGGGCTGTACCCAGCAGTAGCAACAGTAGGCTATGTCCTGATGCTTTTATTAAAGGATGATGTTTTGCAGAGGTGCCTCTCGGAATTTACGAAGGACTAGCTGGAATGTTATTCATTGGATGTATTTAACTAAAATAATAGACCTATCTATCTCCAGAGTAAGTGAAAACCAAGAATCTCTATATTAGAACACCCAAAATCTGGCACTAAAGTTTTTTTTTTCTTATGAAAACACTCCCAATGGGACATATTTTGTTGGCTTATTCTTCTTGAGAGAATTTTATGGACTTAAGGGTGTAATCCTATTATTTTAGAGCACTGTGTGAACATTCAATCCAATTTTTTCCTCATGGGGAGTCAGTTCATTGATAAGGAACATTAGTATGACTGGCCCATTTCTGCAAGGAAGATAGAAAGCAGTATCCTCCTACCTGCCCTGTGAAAATGCCTGGGAGACAGATAACAGAGGCAGGTGGCTGTAGAAAAGAACTTTATGTCCCTAGAATTCTAGAGTGCTCACATGGGCAGCATGTGAGATCTTAGTATCCTGACCAGGGGTCGAACCAGCACCTCCTTCAGTGGAAGCATGGAGTCTTAACCACTGGACCACCAGAGAAGTCTATAGAGTGTCATTCTTAACTCCCATCTCCCTGACTTTGGGAACCTCAACTAGGTATACAAAAGATGTTTGTTGGACCTGAACACTTGGCCGTTTTCAGCATAACCTCTTCAGATTTAAGTCAGGGTAATAGTATTCTAAATACACTGCATGTTTCCATCACTGGAAGCAGTTACCCAGCAAGGCAAGTGTGTACAATTGGCCAAAATCAGGTTTGAGGACTTGGTATAGGCTTCATCTGTGGTACCTCTACCTCTTCCTGCCTTTCTGCCATGGATATCTGAGAATTCTCCCTCTTTGATAATAGCTCCTTTGACAATTCAGCTTCAGGGAATGGATCTGTAAGCCAAAGGCCATCACAACTGTGGATAAATTTCTGGAGTAAATCAGAATTTAGTTTAATATTGAGAGCCAGGGGAGTTGGTACTATTAGAAAAGAGTATGTAAGACCCAGTCTATCTTTCTGGTGTCAAAGCTAACCAAATTCTGATAGAATCTAATCCTGTTCACACATTTTTTATTTCTGAGCTATAAGAAAATATTTCAGAAAAGTGTTCTAAAGACTTAATTGATAGTCACCTAGAGAAGAACAATGATAGAGGAAACCTTTGTCAATGTGAAAACCTGTAAGGAGAAGTTGGTATAAAATGTAATCAAATGAGAGTAATCAAGTAAGAAGGTATTTGATTTTCTTGTACTGCTAGTGAACAAATAAGAAATAATTTCAAGATCACTTTGTCTTAAATTTTTATATGAACATGAAAGGTGCAAATACTGTGGTATGACCCTTTAATGAACGTTGATATTCATGTATAAAAGCAGACACATTATATACTTAAAAGAATTTCATGAAAGAATATTGTATATGGTTTGTTCTACTTCAATTTTGGAAATTTCTTCCATCTAAAATAAATGGACTTAACCATAGCATCCCCGACCCTCTCATGCCCTCTGATCAATCACAGCCCAGTTCTGTGCTGTTCCTTTGCCTCCTCCCACATGGACTCCCTCCTTACAATCCAGACTCAGAGGCAATGTACACAGGAAGGAGAACCTGGCTCTGAGCCAGAAAGCTGGAAGTTGAGTCCCAGCCCCAACACTTGCTGTCTGTCCATCCTTTTTTTGTTTTTTTTAAAGATAGCGCTATGTTTTACTTCATATTTGTGTCATCGTAGCTCAGTCGTGTCCAACTCTTCATGACCCCATGGACTGTAGCTTACGAGGCTCCTCCGCCCATGGGATTTTCTAGGCAAGAGTACTGGAGTGGGTTGCCATTTCCTTCTCCATGTCTGTCCATCCTTAAATGACTGATTTTTATCTTAAGGACTCAGTTTCTTCATTTGTTCAATGAGGTTTATATGAGTTAACATATGTATAGCCTGAGAACAGAGTCTGGCCCCTATTAAGTTCTCAATAAATGTCAGTTACTACCATCAGCACCATCATCATACTCTCACCCCAGATTGTGTGCCCCTAAAAACATTTCGATTCCTTGTTTAATCTTTCATCCCCAGAGGTCAGAGTAAGCTGCTATAGGGTTATCAATAGTGGGAATAGAAAGAATGATTAGGACTCTGTTCTGAAGGTCGAACTCTGTAAATAGTAGGAATAGCTCTGTGTTGACTGTTAGCCTCCTTAAGCACAGCTGTTTTGAGCAGCTGAGGACTTGCAGAGTTAAGAATGTTCCAGAACTGCTCTGACCCAGCTTTGCCAAAACTTTCCTGTGTATAGAGTTGGCCTGGCAACTGCTCCTGCTCCTACATCATCTAAAGAACAATTAGGCATCCTTAACTGGTTGAGACAGCTGTTCTGAGACTGTTCTGTTAGTGTGGGAAAGAGTGATCATGTTTGGTTGACGGCAAATTCTTGGGA